CAAAATTTTTAAAATTAAAAGATATTTCGAAATATTAAAATATATATTTCTATTCTTATATATATGTTGCTTCAAGAAATATTATCAAATCTTTTAAATCTAGATCCTTACAGAATAATTTTATTTATCTTTCTAGAAAATCTGTTAATCTTTTTATAAGATTTTATTAGGACGTATTAGATATTCATTTATTATTATATCATTATTTAATTGATAATTTGATTATATAGAAAGACATGAAGAATATTTGATAGAGATAGATATCAATAGAATATAAAAAATATTTTTTAGAAATTAAGATATTTAGGATTTATTAGAAATAAAAAATTTATAGCAATTATTCGCCTACTTATATCTCTGTTCTATGATATTCCCCACGATCAGACGCTCTAACTCTTCCATCGCACGAACCACCCGCACCCACTTTCTTCACTATCCTCGACCCTCACCTAATGAATGACTTAAGATTAACTATAATCGAAAGATTTAGAATAATAATAAGAAAATATAATCGTAATAAAAATACATACTATAATCATAATCATAATTATAAAAAGAATTGAATAATATTAATTATTATCATTATCATAGCAATATCAATATTATCAGCGGCAATAAGAGATATTATCTAAATATAAGAATCAAATTTTAATAAGATAATTTTTCTAATAAGATCAAACTTTATAATAGAAAAATAATAGACCCGGCGGATACGAAATCTAATTAAATTTGCCCCCTGCCCTCGAATTTATTTTCGCCCACGATTCCCCATAATTCCTAGCTCATCATTTCGCGATATTCTCCCTCGCCCCGCTTTCCTTTTGAAATACTACCCATCATTCCACGATATTCTCCATATTCAACGATTTTCCCATCAAATTCGCACGCCTTACATACCTTCGCGCCACTCCCTCCGACCCAATATCCCAAACCCACGACACTCACATCCCCATCTACCTCTCCGCGACATTCCCTACGACCATACGCCCTCGACGACAACTTGGGATTCCATATTCCGACCTATACGAGATTATGAATATATAAATATGCGTTAATAACGGCAAATCCTCAAGAAATTTCATCATTATATCAGAAGAAATACTAATTTTAGACGTGATATATACAAACAACCATAGAATTATCCTAATATAATATGCAAAATTTTCAAGAATTTAATGCAAATTTCGTACCGACGATCATAGTACTATTTCAAACAATTCCACTATCTATTTCTGCTTTCTATAGAAGATATCGAATCATTTATTGATAAAGAAATAGATTTCTAAGAATCAAATATTAAGAAGGATAATTTTATTTTGCATAATATATAATTCAATCTCATCGCTTAAATAAAGACTATTGCAATGATATTCAAAGAATCGAAAATCTAATAGTATTCATAAGTTCAATATTTTCTATAATAAATATTTGTGAAATTCAGGAAAATATGAACTTACAACTCGATTATTCATCAATTATATCAGATCAGCCAAGACAGTCCGTCTATCTGAGCCGAGCTGGACTTTGAATGCCCAGGCCGCGACTACACAACGAAGTCAAAACAGACCTAGCCACCATGTGTGTTGGATCAGCCCAACGACGTCCGCAACACACAGTCGAACAAAATGAAAGTTCACAGTTCAACAACTGCAGATCTTGCACGCAACTTGAAATCCTTGCGCACGAGATTGCCATCAATTCGTCATCTCCGTGATGTCGCTTTTCTGGCATGTGGAAACGACACTGGGTATCCCGAAAAATGTAGGCCTTGCTTCTCTTGCTAAGAGTAGCAACTTCGATTACTGGGCGAGGCTACAGAGGTAGTAAGTTCAACAAGTCTCGAAGTGACAGCCAGAACCCAGCAAGGGCCAAGCCACCAAAGCCCAAGCCCGGCGAAGCAGCTCCTTGTGTCCGGTCGTTGCCGCTCTATTGGGTTTTGGAGGTTGCTGGAACATCTCTGTATGTGGCTGCTGTTGGACATCCATGTCATGAGCGAACTCCCAGAGCCTTAAAAGCAAAGACAAGTACTTTGCCTTTGCAAGTTTTGGTGAAACTGTGAGACACCTCCTGAAAGTACAATGTGGGTGCCAAATGTCGGACACTCGTGGGTCCGTTCAATTGAACAATCCGATCACGGGTTCGTCTAAGCATAGGGCACAAGGGCAACGGCAACCAAATCACCTTCCTCCGCACTGCAAAAGGCTTGGCCCTTGCAAGATACGTCATCTTCGTCTGACCCGAAACCAATACCTATCTCGTTGAAAGACTCTTGGAAATGATATGAGTTCATGTTGTCGGCTAGGGTATGCTAGGGTGCTGTCCGCAAGCTCGGGCTTATCGGTAAAGGTGATGCCATCAAGGTTGCAGGTTTCCTCAGCAAGATCCCCGGCGAAGCTGATGCCAGCGAGTTCGCAGAGGTCCGTTGGCAGCCTGACAGCGGAAAAAGTGATACCGACCTGACTGCACTGAAGCGACGGCTGCTTAAGATTGCCCCCCTTGATGGAAACCTGCATTGCGGTCAGGATCCTCTCATGCCGGCCTGCATAGAACGCGAGCCCGGAAGTTGCGCCTCGGCCTGCTCTGCGCAGAGACGCTCCGCCTGCCTTGAGTCAAAGCACCGCGGGCGTCCATTTTGCGAGAAGCTTCTCCGCCGTCCTCGAGGACGGCGGAGCATGCAGGTTGTTGCAACTGTGTGCGAAGGAGCACAAAGAATCGCAAAAAGCCACCCTGGAGGCTAGCATGGCGCAGCATGTCTGTTTCTTGGGTGTTGATTTGTCGCAGTACGTTCAGTTTGCAATGGTAAGCAGGCAGCGATGCGAGCACATGCGCAGACCTTGCAGGCCCCCTGCAAGGTCTGTGCATGTGCTCGCATCGCTGCCTGCTCGTAATCGTACTGAATACTGAATGTACTGCGATGATCTGCGATGTACTGCGACACATAAATGCTCAAGAAACAGACAGACCATGCTGTGCCGTGCTAGCCTCCACCGCTGGGCAACTCCAGGGACGTGATGATCTCCGGTGGGGGAATGGAAACACGGACTTGAACGCCCACTACATTTTGTCACGAAGGAGGATCTGCAACTCTCCGCCAAAGCCGCCATCTTCTTGCCTGGAAGTGCAGCATTGCCCACAAGGCGCATAGATGACTTGGGCCTTGTGAAGACGGAAAACCAGAAGTGCGTTAGAGGCCATAACACCTGCCAGGCACATCTCTGCGTCGGAATCTGCTTGGAGGGCTGAGATTGTGGCGGTCTCGGGGTGCCCTGCAATCTCCCAAAGGGCACATATCTCGGCTCCCTACACATCTGCCTTCTGTTGCAGGTCGACACCTGGTAGTTCCATCTTCCGCAAAGTGACCTTGTAGCGGTGTTCATCCCTGGCAGCAAGAGGACGCCAGCAGCCATCACCAACGGAGTCACGACGATGGAAAATGCCAGGGTCTGCAAGGCAGAGAGCATCGAATCGATGCCGTCCTCGTAGCTGACTGAAGCCTGATAGATGGCGACGGTCATCAGGCAGAGCCGGAGGTACATGCAAACGAAGCTCCAGAAGATCACGTGAGGGAGTTACAGCTCCATGTTGATCAGCGAGGAACCTCATGCCTCAACAGGCTTTAGCATGCTGCCGCATGAGGTGTTTGGGACAGTAAGCTGGCAGCGAGTATGCTATTTACCCATCTCGAGCCGACGAGGCATTCGGAACGAATTTGCCTCGCGGCACCCTTTCGGGACGGCACACGCCCCTCGTTGTGTGACTGCGGGGGCTGGGAGCGGCATTCACTTCGCCTTTTTCCTGCGGGGTTGAAATCACATGGTGCACAATCTTTCAAAGGCCGGTGCAGGCAGCATCCGGACTTCGGGCTTTCCTGCTTTGATGGGTGATGTGAAAAAAACGCAATAAGATGTAAAAAGTAAAGGTCACTCGTAGCGATGGGTGAAACCAATCTTCGGGATCTTAGTGGCGAGGCAGCTCAGAAGCCTTTCATGCATTCACTGCCGAACCAGGGCACCGAGCAGTGCTTCTGCTTGTGGTCTTGTCTCATGCAAGGCGGGCTGTCACGATGGCTCCTTCCACTAATGTACAAGGGGTAGTGCAGCTGCTGCAGTTGCTGCTGTCGCCACAGCTGCCGCAAAATCCACTGCACGTTCTTTGTCCTGCGACATGCATGCTCTGGAGCAAACAAATACATGTACATACAAACCAAGCCAGCTGTCGGTCCTTCTTCGTCCTTCTAAAGTAGGCCGCAAGCTTGTTGCGGGTAGACCGGAGAAATGCATATGCCAGCCTTCGATAATGGAGTCATCAAGTCTAGGTATAGTTCGCTTGTGCAAACGTCCTCCGGCAAGCTCTGATGCGATTTACGCTGCTTCCACGACACCACTCTCTCTGGGGAACTGCTTCATCCGAGGTGACGATGTTGACACCTTCGGAGACAGGAGGTGACAGGCCAGCCCGAAACGCGTTCTACGACGGCCTTGTCTCTCTATGCACCTGCTCGGAAACGAGAACTTTGACTGTCGGAGACAGTGCCCTAAAGGATTGAATCGAAGAAGTGCTAGCTCCAGTATCTGTTGCAAAGACACCGACCCGTTGCTTCTAGATTCTAGATACACCGCTGGCCGGACTTCTGCAACCAGCCATGTTCAAGCAGCCCAAAAGAACGCATATATTTGCGACGCCAAGGCACGATCACCATTGTGGAGCTGATAAAATGGAGGTACCTGGCCGGGGATTATTTAGCCTTCTGCCTGCATTTATTTCGAATGTCGAACTCCATCTACAGTATGACTCGGCCTTCTTGTCGTTGACCACTGCGTGCACCATGTGCAGCCCAAGCTGGGCAGAGCTTGTTGCTTAACTCAGAGCCAGCACTGACTTGATGTGAAGCGCCTCAGAGTGAATCTTGAACGCCGCATCCAGCGCGGTGCAGCCTCCTTGGCTGCGAGCCGTGCGGTGAACCCTGCTACGTATTCTGCCTGTGTAGGTGTAGGCCTCAAACAGTGAAAGAGAACCAAGCAATCCAAGCCCTACATACTCAAGTAGCACTTCTTCCAAAAACACCCCAAGGGGTCAAAACTGCAGACCACACTGTGGTGGGGGAGCGCTTGTCGCAGAGCTTAGGAGCAACGTCCTAAGCCCTTTCAGAACGGCGGGATTTCAAGACATCAACGAGCCCAAAGCTGAGCGCGAACATTGTCGCCCTGCTTTTCAACTTCGAGAGACAAACATGAATTCGGGATTGCAGCTGGAGCGAGATTCTCCTCAACTTCACTATCGACGAATTGAAACCTGCAATGAACGGAGCCGCAGCAGCACGGTAGAGAGAGCGTGATTTTGGTTCAACATGTCAAGGTGAGACAGCCAGGTGCGCCCCCACATGCGCACTTGGCACGGTAATCAAATCCGGTTTTTTTCTGGAGTAAGAATCTCGTCGTGATGCCCTCACACTGCTTGGAGAATAAGCACTGCTTGCACTCGAGCGTGGATTGAAAGCCGAGGCACTGGAGAGATTCAGGATGGTTCCGTCTCTCAGGAATATGAAACACCTCGCCACAAGTCGGCCAATTACATATGCCTGCAGCCTGGGGCGGGCTTCGTTCGGATTGCAGCCCATGCAAACGCCCAGAATGGATTCGTGCGAGGTCAGGCGCATCCTAAACTTTCCTACCTTGACCGAGCTTCTATGAGAACCTGGCAGCGCACCTAGTCGGCAATCCTGTACAAGACGTACCAGTTTGGGGTCCCGCAGCCTTTTGAGGCAAGTCCAGAGGGCCCTTCAGATTGCATCCGCGCTGGGGGCCAGTGCTTGGCCTTGACGTCCTGTGAAGGATGACTTGTGCTTTTTGACCCTTTACTTCCAATATTTCTCTTTTCTATCTATGTGTTGCAGAAGGTGTGCGCAGTGATCAGTGGTGGGCCGTGATTCGGCATTGAAATGGCTCTGGTCATGGATGTCCTCGCTTGGCTTGAGGCGCGGTCAGCCTGCATTGTGGCAACGCGGTTGCTCACGCAGGTGATTCTTGAGTTGGATTTTCAAAGTCCAAAATTTTGTGTTGTAGCATTCTGTCTCTGCATTGCCTCAGATCCGGGTGCTTCCATGTGTCCGCCACTAACATCTGTGCCCATGACACTGAGAAGCATTTGCACAGCACACATTCGGGCTCGCTTGAGCTTGTGTGGCACAATCCTTGATAGCTATGGGCTTGCAACACTCTGCCATTCGGAGTTGCTGCATCTTGGCTCTTTTGTGAAAGCTTATTGGGAAAGAGCTTTCCTATAAGGCGGATTACAGTTTCTCTCGAAGAGTTGTGCCAAGGCTTGCCAAACAACGAGGAAGCACGTGGCGACGCGTTCGTGTGGGCAAAGTTGTGCAACTACAGGTCTGCCGCGTTGACACAAGACCACATGGCGGGGAGTGAACTCGCAGTTCCATAGACACGCACGGGCAAACACGTGCGAGAGCGTTCCAAGATGCCGATGAACTCGATGGCATAGACATGTAGCTGGACAGGTTATGTTGTGATACAAAGCTTTCCGTGACATTGGATGCTGTCGACCGGGGAAACGCGAGATGCCCCAGGACCCAGTGACTCGTCGGGTCGTGCCTTCTGCCAAGCTCATCTCGCAAAACCTGCTACAGTAGAACTCAACATGCGTATTGGCGCGAGCAGATTGCGTTGTGGTGCCGCGCCTCTTCCACAAATTGTTGGGCATCAGTTCGCAAGTCTCCATCCTCACAGCAGCAGTAAGAACTTCGCTGCTATGCGATTCGCACCAGCTGACAGGTCTGCTACGACCAAACGTCACATCAGTAGCAAGCTTTGGTCACAGGTGCCTTGTCTGCGAGCGACTCTAGCCATGCAACTCGTCGGCTGAGCATCTTGGACCTGATAGGAGTACGGCAAACGGGACAGTCTCTCTTCGCATGCAACAGCCCGCATGCGACACGATCCAATCCAAGGCATGCTCTTGTGTTGCTCTCCGTCGCCGCGCAGCTCGTCTTTGTAAGTCCAATGTGCTGCCATGCCGTACCTAGGCTTGTCCGTGAGCGGGCCTAGACACAAGGCCACACGACCCGACCTTCCAAAAGCTGTGCTGATTTGTGCACAGGATGGCACGGGAAGTACTTATTACAGTCTAGATGATTGCCAGGGCAGTAAGTGTAACTGCAACGATCTGGGACGTAGAGTTCGTTTAATTGTGATTTGATGCTCTTGGCGTGCAAAATTCGGGCATGAAGCCATTCGCCGTGCTGACTAAAGATGATAAAGATCACCGTCTCTGCATTGGAAAGGCAACTGAGGCTCTGACTCAGCGACTTCATGCATCTGTCTGGTCCGAATCTGTATTTCCAATGGCACTGGTGCGTCATCATGGACGAAGGTCGCATGCAATGACTGATAACCTGCCAGTGGCAAAGCTTTGGTTGAAATCCGAGACAGACATACATATTGCAGAAGCAAGCGATCTGAAACCCGCACCATTTGGTTTCGGGAAAGCGATGTAATTTTTCAGACTGTCGCCGCCTTGGATGCGACAAAGGGTGTACACCAAGCCGGTAGCGCATTCAAATTGGCATCGTCTTAAGCCGTCACATGCAGCCGAAAGCGCCGGTCCAGTTGGGAAGCTTCCGCATCAATGTCAGGGCATGGTAGCAGAAACCTGCGCCTCGCTTGGCGAACTCTTCGTCACCTTCCCCCTCGAAGCGGTCAATGTCAAGAACAACTCGCAATGCAATGATGTCGTCAATATTGTCCTGAGTATCAAAGTACACTGCAAAGGTCATGGCCTGTCTTGTACAAACAGAAATGTTTGAGCCAAGGGGCGATGTTGTTTTGATATTTTGTCTTTCTGCGCATTTTCTCCCACAGAGTGTACATGCCCTTCCTCAGTTGATAAACTTTCAGCTGCGATGGTTGTTGAGCTTGCCAAATCCTCTTCGTCCACGCTTCTCTCTTCCCGTGATCTCCAGCTTGATGTTGTGTCTTGTGAGGGTCTCATCTTGCCTTTGAGGAGCTTCGGTCATATTCTCCGAAGGTTCAGTAGCTGCTTGGGCTACACTTGCATTTCATACAGACCCCAACCTGAGGATCTCAGAAAAATCGTGTGTAGCTGCAGCCAGAGTGGATGTGTACCTCAGCAATGAGCACATGGCCAGAACCAGCATTGCAGCAGACCCGTATGTTCCAAGGAATCTTGGCGTGGTCTTCGTCAGCTAAGCGGCTGTGCCCGCCGCATGCTCAGGAGATTGTTGAGTCGATGAAACTCCTCGGCTTATCCCGCAGCAGAACGACTTTCTGCCGAGTGCTGACTGCTTTTCGAAACAACACAGTCTGCAATTAACATCTTCCGCGCTTTCTTGATGCAGACATTACGAACGCTGGACCGTTGAACGAGAGGCTGTAGGGTACAGGTACTTGAAAGACCTGCTCAGGGGCTCAGCAAACCTGACAACCTCAGTCTTTCAACAACTTTGAACTGAGGTGAAGGCAAATCCTCCAGCTCGGTTTTGAACAGCCAAACACCCAGCCGGTGTGCCAACTGTGCAAACACTACCTGTAGCGAGAGAGGCCCCGAGAGCGGAAGAGAGAGCGAAAAATAGGTCGAGAGAGGAGATGCCAGGACATGCCGGCAGCTTTACAATGGAAGCGATGCAGGGAAGCTGCCAAAGTTTCTGCTGCGATGGTCTTGCGCTTGCGCTCCGGCCTCAGCATCTATCGTTGGAACAAGAAGGCTCGCTATTATAACATCCCGTTTGTTACTCGTGCTCCCCTCGACTCTTCTTTGTTTGTGTGCAAGGCGGATACTGCTTGCTTGCTTGCGTGCTTGCTTGCATGACGGTCTTGAAAGAAGCTCCCCTCGGCCCCTCACGAGCACACCCAAGATTTCCAACCCACGACGCCTCGCGCACGCTGCCCGCCCCGAGATCGTCAACGCTGTCTGTTCTTCCCCACGGCAACCAAGCAGGCCAAGGACAGGGCTCTGGGGCATTCCGGGGCCTCACTGGGGCCTCTTACCGCTCGTGAAAGCTCAACACAAACGACGTCCTTGATGCTGGCCTGCGCACCTGAACGTGCCTCCACAGTCAGGAGCCGAGCCTGAACGGCAAATTGCAATGGACTTAGCCAAGACACATGAACTGGAGCGTGCGCATGTTGTGCAAGCGATCCTGAATTGTCAGCTTGGATGTTGCAGGCGCTCTCAAGGCATGCTGTTTTACTCGGGCGCCGGCAGCAAGCTTTACCAGGATCACCCGATAATCATCAGCCATGGCTAAGAACATGTCCTTGCAGTAGCTTCATCAACGACAAGTACTTGAGAGACGGACTTCACGATTGACAGCATGCGAGGTGCCGACAACGCGTCCACGTGTTGAAGTCTGTGATCGCAGAGAAGCCGGCTTGGGAAAGAGCGTTTTATGGACAAGTCTGAAGCTGAGGGCTGGTCCCTCAGGTTCTCTGCTTGTTCACGGGCCTTACTCACATCATCGGATGTTGATGAAGGCGTCTTTTTGCCAAAGAAGATGCTAAACCTCGGTGTTAATCGTACATGCTAGCTGCACTGTAAATGTGGGGTCGGTGCATCGGAGTAATGACGGCGGCACTTCGCAATGGGTAGGCACCCGACAAAGATGTGTAGCGTCTGCTCCAATTGCCACGTCCGCCCAGAGCCGTTCGCTTGGAGGCTTTGGTTTCTCCTTCAACAATACCTTAGTGCAGTAAGTCACGCACAGTCTGACAGGGGCCGGAACAGCCTGGCCAGACATTCTCTTGTGTATGCTGGGTGCGACGGACATCGGGCCCAAAGATTTCCTCCAGATCCTCAAAGTGAATCGTAGGATTGTCTTCGACTGTGTCATGGAGCCTCGGTATGGGAGACACGTGTCGAAAGCATGGCCAGAGTAGATTTCTACAAGTAGTTGCCAACACACACAGACACTCCCACACATCGCTTTACAGCACACGGCCTTCCGGCCCGATGGCGCAGTTGATCGAAGATTTGGCCGTGCTACAGGGCGAGAACCAAAAGAAATGCTTACAGCTGCAGGCGGTTCCAATGCCCGATGCTGTAATGATTTTAATGTTTTGCAAACATTTATCTGAAGCCAAGCAAAGTTCCAACGTCTCACAGGTTTCGAAGGTTCGGGCTAAATGATGAGGTTGCCAGACTGGTGCAGTCCAAGAGCAAGCCGCCAACGATAACATCCACCTGCACCTGACAAAAAGTGGTCTCGGATGCGGAAGCTCTTGTCTCGTCACAGACGAACCCCAACACCCTCATCCTCGTATTCTAGGAATGCAGCACCTAGCCCCCAAATGGCAGAAGAGACCAGTGGCAAGAATCTGAAGCAGAAGTTGGGTTCCAGCGCCGTGCCTTCAACAAAGCAAGGAGCTCTGCCTCAGAGCTTCGTGACAAACGACAGGATGTGCAAAATGCCACTGTGACCGAGCTGCTACAGCCACGGGGTGCACAATGTAGGGCTCTCCAGACTTCCTCATCTGACCATGATGCGCCAGCCTCAGCTTTTGTTCTGGGTTACGTACTCTCAGCACTTCCTATTTCAAGCCTTTCGGACCGCTCTCAGCCGAATCGTCATGCTGGATATTGCACTTGTGCCTGTCATCCGTGCTCCCGTCGGCAGGAAACAAATCGCGAACCTAGTGCATCGTTAGCTTTTCTCACTCAACGAGAAAATTCGGAAGAAGGATTCGTCCTGTTGTCATTGTCAGCGCGACGACGAGTATGCCAAGTTGTGCAGCATACATGTCTGAGATTCGTTTCAAGAGTAACGTCTGTCTGACACTGGTTGAGCCATGCCACGCTGCAACGCAAAGTGCTGAGAGAGCACGAAGACGGTCTTCTCTGGGCCTCGGGTACGGCACAGCCCTTCGAGGTAAGGATTGGCCGACTGCACAGCAATGATGCGAAGGGCAGCAAAACCGCCAGGGCGGGTTGCTAAGGAACCAGCAAGTACATCAGCTTCGGTTCTAAGCCTTCCCACAGGCGCGTGACCTTGTGTCACAGAAAGAATCACGAACGGTTAATCAGTCTGCATATATGCACCATGGACGAAACATACAGGCGGCCTCGGCCATTACTTGTCCATCAGGGTCATCCTGGAAATTAGCAAAGGTTCGCAAACGTATAAGCGTGGGACAGCTCGGGAGTGTCCTCTGGTCGAGGTGTGCCCTGCGAAGCTAGAGACCAGCGCTCGACGTCAGGTGCCATCTCCCGAACATGTCGCTGGACACGAGCCTGCCACACCAAAGCGAGGCGATCGGAGGCAGCAATGCAAGTCCGCGCTACCGACCGACTTGTCATGTGCAGAAAAGCCATCTGCATGCAGTACTGTCTCTTGCATGGCCTGCTTCAATCTTCGTCGTCCCTGCTTTCCGAAGCACGGGAAAGTCGCGCAATGTGACAGCGCTGCGATTGCTATGCCTCGGTTTCGCTTTCGAAGCCATCCACGACATTCATCACACGTCATTTTGCATCCGTACAAGCTTCGTCTGTCGCTCTGAGAACTCGATCTTCTCCACTCGTGTTTCTGCTCAGGCGAGCAGACATTGCCATCCGCCACATGCACCGAAACGGTACAGTGGTTACTTCCAGTGCAACTATCTTATGTGTTTCTGTATTATGTTGTGGGTCGCGTTTATCCGTTGTTTTCGCCATCTCCACAAAACACCAGAAACCCTGAACGTGGCACGTGTCGGAGGACCCTCGAGGCTTGTAGGTTCAAGGGTGGATTCAAGTCTCAACTCATTCGACGTTCGCACGGGGTCCTACCTCTTTTTAAGGCCAGGGGACAAGGTTCTACAATTACAAGGATCCACGACCCGCTTAGAATGATTGGAAGCTCAGGCTTCAGCATGCTTCACATCGTCCTATCAGGATCTGTTGCGGGCTTGGACTGTGTTCTTCCAGTTGTTCAGCTAGTCCTTTCCTGATTTGAATTCTTTGCTTCGCAGGTCAACGGAAACAGCCTGAACGTTGCGCAAGGCCTTCTCGGGCTGGAGGTGTCCCACTAATCACCGACCCTGTGCAGCCAGAGCTGCATGCTGCGGCTTTTGCAGCCGGTCGTGAGTGCTCCACTCGCCGAGGCCTCAGAAACACGATTTCCCCGGAGGGAAGCCTTGACGGTGCGCTGTGGCATTGCCCGACCGAGTGCGTCGCCTAGGAAAATTTGGGGATCGCGGTGTAGGAGGCTCCCAGATTAAAGTCTGCATCTCAGGATGGCAGACCGCAGCATGGCATCACGCAGCAAACGCACCTACGCGCATGTCTTTCAAACGCGCGCGTAGACCAAACAATCCTGACAAGCGTGTGCTCTCCGTCTTGCTTTGCCGTTTACTGCTGCATTGTGCTGTCACATCTGCGGTATCCTTGGCTAGCTGGAGACTGATGACCCATGCTGGTCGCGATCGTTTGAGCATAAGAAAGCGTAGCTGACCAATGACATCTGTCCATGGCCGACCGAATAATCTTTCAAAAACAGGACGATACTGGACTTTGGGGCTGCGAAAGACATGAAAGCCCAAGTCTGTCTGGTCAGTCCTTGCCGAATCTGACCGAAAAACTGAAGCTGTGCTGCAATGTTGCAAATACCCTATGTTGTGCAACACTCAGGGAAGCACTTGCGATTGGATCATCTCTGAGCAACGCGCTCTAGACTTCGCCACTTCCTCCTTCACGTCTGTTGCTTACAAACAAGCTTTTTCCGTGGCAAAATTACCTCCGTGGTTAGCTCACGGCGAAGGATGCACAGTAGTGCCAGCCGCTCAGAATGCCTGCACACCGATATGCGCTCGTCAAGAAGCAGGCATGCAACTCATGGGCCGCAACGTCGCGATGATTTGCTTCATTAGTGACAACCCATGCTCAATCCAAAACTTGCCTAAGCCTGGCTTAGCATTGGATCATGCTAGCATGCTAGAACGGGGAGACTCTGTAACTGCAAGTAACTGTCACCCCGTCTACGACAAATAATCTTACAGGCCTGGAGCGATCATGCTGCACATTCACCGGGAGAAGCCAGGACTGTGCAGCACGAGTGCTGCCATAGCCGAACACACCTCTTGCGATACCATCACCAACATCAACGCAGCTGATCCAAGCGGCCAGACTGTGAGCGCTGGCTTCTTCTTCCACTCTCGTACCGGCCTCTAAGAAATGCTCCGCCGTCGAGCGCCTTGTGTAGACATGTCCACGACTCCTCCAGGCTGGACTCCGGCCCCCAAAAAAACACCCCAGTGTCCTGTCGACGAAAAATGCGCCCAATGTGAAATATTGATTTAATTCATAGTCGAACAGTCTGGCCGACGTCCTCTCCGATGCCAGGGGGGCATACGTGGGTGCACAGAGTTCTCGTAGCTTGTTGACAAGACGCTTCCACTCGAAGCGTTCAAAGGACTTGGCAACTCTTTCCTGCAAACAGGCATGGGCCGTCAGGAATTCGACGGCGGTAATTGCATGCTGTGCCTGGAGCCGGGACCTGGAATAGTTCAGCATGCTAGAGACGAGACTTGGCAAGGTGCCAAACTGGCCCGAACATTCGCAAGGTGCTCCAATTAAAGACAGCGTGATGACATCCGTCTGCACAGTCCGCTGTCGCATGCCTTGCAAGATGCTTACCGCACCAAACCATGACAAGGCTCTCTGGCATGCCTCTGCTGCAGCATTGTAGGAAACAGTGCTTGGTTTCAACTCCAGTTCCGGCATCTCACCCAAGAAAGATAACGCCAGCTGCCACTGGCCAGCGGAAGCACAAGCACTGATCAAGGCGTTGCACATAATCTCGTTGGGCATCAGGTCATGAGCGCATCGTAGTGTCTCTGCCAGCTCCAAAGCCCATCGCCATCTCAACGCCTCACAATGCTCAATGCTGCTATGCAATGGCAGCTATGCGTGCTGTTTTCATGACTGAGGTGCTCCCCCCCACCCCCATGCAGCCGGCCCTGAGCCCGTTTCAGGAATTATCCAGCGGCTTGCCTCCAAAGCGTGGCCGTGCCACGATGGACTCGTGACGAGGGCTGTTAGAAAGGGCCACGCCCACCGATGTTCTGTCAGTGTTGCCACTCGGTGTGCCACTCACTCGAACTCCCAGTCGCAGTTGTTTGTCCCCATGCTGACATTGCCTCCTTGCCCCTGCCCCTACCTACGTCTCGCATCGCGTGTCGGCACACCCCCCACCCATGGTAGTCACTTTTGTGTCAAAGGTGCCAACAGTCACAGGGATGGGCCCCCCGAACCCGAGATCCTCGTGAGTGTCTTGCCTCTTGAAGCTATGCAGCTTCGTGGCGTGTCCAAAGTGGCGACACTCACCTGGATGGGCCATGGTTTCGGTCTGCGCGGCGCCCAGCTGCTGACCCTCAACCCAAAACCCTTTCAAATCTATATACCTAAGCCTATAAACACTAAACAACCCCACCATTTACACCACAGGGGGCTTGCGGTTGCAAACCCGAAACCCTAAACCCAACACCCACCACCACACCACAGGGAGAGAGGAAGGGGGTTGAACACTAAACCTCAAACCCACAACCCACCACCACACCATAGGGGGGAGAGGGGGGGTTAAATAACCCAAAACCCACCACCACACCGCAGGGAGACGAGGGGGGTTAAACAACCCAAAACCCACCACCACACCACAGCAGGGGGTCGGGGCATAGGACAGCATGAGGCCACCACAGCCAGGCCACCTAAACCGTAAACAACCCCACCACCCACACCACAGGCGGCTTGGGTGCAAACCCTAAGCTCCAAATCCAACACCCACCACCACACCGCAGGGAGGGGGGAAGGGGGTTAGCCACAGAGGGGGAAAGGGGGGGTTAAGTAACCCAAAACCCACCACTACAGAAAAACGAGGGGCTTAGGCTTAGACAAACGACCACAGCACAGCGGGGGGGCCGGGGCGTGGGACAGCATGAGGCGGCCACCCAGAGCCCGGCCGCGGGGGAGCACAGAGCCGGCTGGCACGCACCACAGCCAGGCAGGCGGGGGAAGCATAATGGGGGTGGTGGGGTGGTCGGGCAACGCTGCACCATAAATCCGTGTCAATGCAGGAGGTCCTGCAGCTTGTTATCGACACTCCCCGGCCACCTGCGCACCCCTCTTTCTCGCAGCATGTCTGACGCTGCCAGAGCCTCTTGCTTTTTTGCCTCTACAGTACGTTGCCTCTACAGTCCGTGCGATTGCTGTTTACGATGCTATCAAGGGCAGACCAAATGCCAAATCATGCGCAGACTTCGCTTCGTGACCACTTCAACGTTGTCTGGGAGGCATTGTTTCTCCTGGTGCGTATTTGGTCATGGTGACGAGTCGCTTGCAAACGCTTCCCTGAAGAAGGAGAGACACGGAATGATGTCGAGAGAGAGAGAGAGACAAAGGAGATGGAGACATGCAGGGAGATGGAGACATGCAGCACCTGCATTGCGGAGAAAACTCATGCTGGAGGCTTGCACACTGCCGCCCCGCCTTCTCACACGCACTGATTGTGGAGCTGGCCAGCACGACATCCAAGGGCATGCCTGATCGGAAGATGTAGCTCTTTCGATGTCTAGGAACCCAATCGCGCCTTGTGAGATGCTGAGCTGCAACAAGTTCGTTGCTCGTTGCCAAAGCTGGCTTTTCTCCGTGGCAGTGACCATTGCCCCGAAGGTGACAACCTTCGCAGAAAACTGTTCGCCTCTCGTTTACTCAGGTTTTGCCTTGCACAGAACATATGCGGAACATGTATTGTTTTCGGTCGCCACAATCACAAGGTTGCTTCTGAGCAGCATCTGGTTGAATAGTCAGCCGCTTCATGTCCTGGCATTCTCTCGTCTAGAAGCAGGCTTCGAAACAGGAGCCGATAGCTGTAAGCTGAAGTCTCCTGCATGGTACGAATTGCCAACTCGGGCTGCAATCCGGCTGCACAAGAGCTGGCAGCTGCATTGAAAGTATGCCTGCTGGAGTTTCCACGAGAGAAATTAAGCAAAAAGAAGGAGGGAGGGCAGGGAGGAGAGTATGAGGATCTTGCCGGGAGCAAAGAGAAGGTGCAGAACAAGGCAAAGGCTAGCTTTCCCAATCATACCTGTCGAGACGAAGCTGATGCTCTCGTCGAGTGCGCCAGAAGGTGCACAAACTTCGTTCCCATTGTGACGCCTGCAAAACAAACAACCGCAGCTGCGACCTGACCTAACTTGAAAGGATCCTCACGAAATGCTCGAATGCACTGGCAATGAGGCATCTTCGCAACATATTCACGAACAGGCCTTCTCGAATGTTGTCAGGGCCGTACTGAGCATCGTGGTGTCCTTCCTTGCGTCGGATGCCGCTTTGGGTTTTTGCCTACTTCATCGGCCTGCCGGTTGGGCCTGGGGTTTAGGGATGTCTGGGGTCGCGGCTCCAGCCCGAAGATGCTGAGCTGACCATAGAGTCTACAGACCTGGTGATAGCACTGCGATGCACCCAACTAGTGTTGAGTGAGTCGCAAAATCAAGCGACGGCTCATGGACCCCTAGACGAGCGCTTGCGATGCAGGACATCCCGTATTGACTTCTTGACTTCTGGAGACTGGGACCTGCCTAGCTCAAGAAATGCCAGTGGGATACACCGTTTGCGAAGCTACTTTGTTGTGGCAGACGGGAAGCCGTTTCATAGTTCCTCGAACCCGGCCAGTGCCACTCGAGTTCTCATGCTAAGACATTGCAAAGACCATCGAAGCCTTGTGCTCTTTCGACTTTGCACTAATGTGTGGATGGTGGTTGTCACCGATGGAGTTGTGCCTGTGCGCGGTTGATGTTTGGCGGTGTGTTGTTCAAAGGCACGAAGAGTCGAGAGCTCGGCCCAGAGTTGGGGTGACGGGTAGCCTTAAATGAACCTGTCTGACTTCTATCCAACCCAGTTTGAAGAGATTGCTACAACCGAAAGTTGTCATATAAGTATGTGTAAAGACGGTAGAACTACTACTAGTACTCATAATACTGGTAGCACCAAGACACGGCGAAGACTGAAGAACGAGTGTCCGGAAAGCGTCTGGAGCAGCGAGGTGGTCAGCAAGGCGACGCTTAACCCCATCTCATCCCTACATTTCGTCATGCATTCTTGCATACATCATCCATTCATCCATGAACCCATTGACCCATCCATGCAACCAAGCCGTAAACTCTTGCTTTACCCTGTTCATAGGGTTCTGCAAAAAAAAGAACTTGACAAAGGCATATCCCTTTGTCTTGGACATGCTCAATTCCGAGCACGAATCGTCGGACCGCGCTTACGGCACTCTGCCACGTCCACCGACCTCACGGCACACGTGCGCAGCCGCCGCAAGCGCCGTTTCCCGTGACCGAACTTGAAAGCAGAGCGGACGAAAGCGAATGGGACGGAAGGAGCAGCAGTGTATTGCAAAGGCGAGCTGATCCTGATAAGCGACATTTAAAGTTGCAATGTTCCTTGTATGCTGTGTTGCGAACTGGCGAAGGGCTATCCAAACAGCTTGACGCAGAATGGAGTTCGAATGCGGCATGGTCTTAAAGCCCAAACCTGCCCTCAGTTCTGCTGTCTGTTTTCTGACCCCTTGGGGGGGGCCTCAAGGCTCGGGGATGGCCCAAACCAGAATCGTAAACAAGAGCTCGCGCAAGCTCCAAAGGAGCGAGCTTTCTGGACATGCTGGTATCAGGAAGGGTTGCCAAATTCGAGGACGAATCGTGACGGCACCACGGGCATAAGGCTGAGGTAACCGCACGAAAACCTAAAGGTCGACCTCGCATCATTCCATGAAACTTCACGATGAAAACGAGCCAACCCCAAATCAGCAATATCACGTCATGCCATCCAGACCACGGAAAATCCCGTCGCCACAATTACGGGAAGAAAAGGGCCTAAAGCGGCCGGTGATACCAACTAACAATCGTATTAATTATCATTTGCTGTTGGGCATCACGGCAGTCATCAAACATTTTTCGTTTTGCTATTTGGTGCTGTGAATTATGAGCCTTATCGTGATTCTTGGTGTTCTTTCTGCGGTTATGTCTCTGCAACGGGTGCAGTAGTCAGTTTACAGGATGCGATTATGGAAATGCACATGGGCAGCTACTGTTCAAAGGCCGAGAAGTTGCAGCTGGCACGACAATCTGCAGACCTCGCTCCAATTGCTTGCTCGAGAACAGGAGGCAGAGCCGGAGCCGTACCTTCGTTCTTTGCGCTGCTTCACCCCGTGCAATCGTTGCAACAGCTGTGAGCGCACGAGATGATGTCAGGTTGTAGGAAGCGCCTTTCTGCGGGTTCAGACCTAAAGCGGTCCTTGTCCGTGGCCTTGGAGCCCAGCCCGGCCTCTGACGCTCCAGGATGCCCAGCGCAAGCCTGGCAAGTCACACCCCAGCCCGAGCATGCTCGACTTCTGCCACAAGTCTGAGCCGGTTTTAATTTATCAAAAACACTGTTTGAATTTTTAATTCAATAATCCAAGCACTGGGTTTTCTGTCTTGTCTCTGGGCGGGTGTGAGAGAGGGTCTCGTCTTATGCAACGGATGAGATGAGGTGCGGCTTTGCATTGTCATGGGGGCATGCGGCATGCCGTTTTTCCCTGCATCTGCTGTTGGGAGATATCGAGAGAGCCGACAATCTGGCTCCACAGATTTCTGCAGAATGTGCACGGTCTTTGACATGCAGCCAGGTTGATGTGATGCTCCCAAGCAGAAGCTGGGCCACGATTCCACAGACCGGCCGCCCGAGTGCCTCCACTTTTTGGGCAGGTCTGTGCTACCGAGCACCAAATTCAGCCTCCAGCACAGCGAACGATGCCAGGACACAGAGATTTCTGCACCGTCACGAACTGCTTGCTCCTGAACTGCAAGCAAGTTGCGTAAATGTGTCCGCTCCAACGCCTGCCCTGAGATGCGGAAGCCACCAGGAATCACCAGGATCAAGACATCATTGAATGTGATTCAAGGCTCAAAGGGGCTGCTGGATGGTCGAGATCTCAGGCCGTGACTGCTCCGTGCTGCATACGAGTTGAAGAGATGCTGACCACGCAATCGCCCCTTCGTGTTTCGAGTTCAAGCAGTTGAATGCGTTGGCGCAATCGCTTCTGCGGAGGGGCCAAGGTGCTTTCAGAAGTTGATAGGTGCTTCCCTCAAGCACAACTGCAACAGCACTCTCTCAAAATACCACAATTTGATTGCACGTCTGAGAGGCAAACGAAGAGTAACAGAAGCTCCTCTACCATCTTGTGGGCTTAAATCGGGTACCAATAGTTTACACTTAACGTAGAAACTACGATTTTCAACGAAATCAAGCCAGCTCGTCCCTGCACTGCCGTGCCAGGCATGCCGTGCTACGTCAAGGACAAAAATTCTGGACAGAGTGCAAACAAGGCCTGCGCAGGCCTTGACCGCAGCACCAAGAGCAATGACGTCCTAATACGTGGCTGGCGGCAAGAGCGAACTTCGGACCTCTTCACCATGCAGGCTGCCGGCTGAGCACACGGCAAGGCGCAAGCTGCTTGCCCGCCGCATCTGTGAAAACGGTACTCTGACTGCATGCACCAGCAGCAAAGGAGCAGGCCGGCCTCTGACAAAACGGTCGCAACATGCTGCCACAGCCGCCGCTTGCCCAAATTTACAATGAAGCGCGTAAAGTCCTGTGTCGCCACGCTTGCTGTTCTAGCACCGAAAGTTTGCCTGCAATACTCCACTCACATGGGTAGCAATGAGCTTTTAATTTGCGTCTGTTGCATGCTGCGGTGCAGCAGTAGCAGGCTACGAGAAAAATGTTAGCAACCGCAAGGCATCCCGAAAGGCTGCGCTAATTAGCAGCTAGTTCACTGCCAACCCCGAACTCCGCTCCTTGGGACTTCTCGGAAGGGTGCGAAGCAACTCCTCGATGCTCTTGTCGTGATGTCTGTCAATCAACCGATCTGCGAGAAGTTGCCCGGCTAACTTGACATGTGGCTTCTTGGAGCATGGCGCCTTGGCGCATGCCGCGTTTTCACCGGACTGTTTGCGTTGCCCCCGCCTCCCACGAGAGTTAATTTGAACATGTCTGGGCACGCCATGCATACCAACCGACTGCGACATTCCACATTAGGCATGTGTTTGGCGCCGGAGATTCTGCAGTGTTCTGCTGTTCCCGTTCTGCCAACTCGACTGTATTGTAGCTTGCAAAAAACAAGAAAGGCTGGGAGCGTGAGAAATTTCCCGTGTCCAATTGCAAAGCTTCTTGAATCATCCGAAGCGGAAACCTTGCCCGAGCCCGAGCAATATGTATACATATATATGTATGTGTGTGTACATTTATATTCATGCATCGTCTTTCAAGTGTTTCGGGCTTTCTCGTTGCAAGCAGGGTGCACCAACTGCATCCGAACAAAAACAACTTGCCGGGACTTTCCGACATGATGGGTAGGTTGTGGGTACACGGTTCTGGTGTGTTCTGGCGAAGAAAGCAACCCCTTCCAGGGCTATGGGGCATGCGGGGCAAGGCCAAGGGGAAGAGGATGGCTTCCTCGTCACGGCCTTAAAAATCAGCTTGAGATCTAGGTTCGGGGGAGGGCTTCTGGGGCGTCATGCAGTTCCGGCAAAGACTGTCTGCACGTTCACATGTCGTGGGACATGATTGGGATACGCGGCCGTGTCACATGATCTGTTAAAGAATGTCATGCTATTGTGCCCACCTGCCGCCCGGAGCTGCATGGTGCCACGCCCATGGCCACTGAATGAGATGCCCGTGCAGGCTTGAGCTGGATAACCCAGATTTCACAAGAGTCGTTCGAATACAAATCCTGTTCCCATCTCCTCCCATACGGAAAGCAGTGGCAAGCAAAGCTTTTGTTGCCTTCTGATTCGCTCTCAAGACAACTGCTGGCAAGAACATATGTTCACAGCGTCAGAGTCGTCGGGCCTCCTGACCACAAAGAGGGCAAGCGGGCTTGTGCTGCAACAGCCACTCTGCAATACAGTTTTTGTGAAACGCATGACCGCAGGGCAGTTTGGTCAGTCTCTCTGTGGCGTCATACGGAGATAAGCAGAATATGCAAGACACCTGATCTACGTCCCTGGCATCCACCGAAGGCAATGCAACAATGTCTGCAGGACTCGCAGAGCTAGGCGGCTGTGTGTCGAGTTGCAGTAAGACGTCGTAGTCCTCGGGTGTGATCTCACGGAAAAGTATGTCCGAGAGCTGCGAGGGCAGGAGCCCACATGGCAAAGGAGTTTCGTGGCAATTGAAGGAGGGCGAATTGTTGACGACTTCTTGTGATTCTTGGTGTAAGTAGGAGCTTCGCAAAGTTGCGAACTGGCGCGCTTCGTCCCTGCAAACCTGCTCATCCGCCGATCCCAATTGAGTCAAGCGCGTCCTATTCCAAACGTCTCTTTGTGATGGCCAGTAGCTGGAAGCATACGTTGGTGTTTCTGCTTCGGATTGCCCCCAGGTTGAAGAGCTCGAGCCGCGGACAGCTTTGGCACCACGGCCTCGTTGCTCCCATCCATCGAGCCAGAGCCACTCATGTGGTTCATTGTCATGGTAGTTGCATTCTGCAAGGCTTTCCAGGTCTGGGGCACCCAAAGCAGGAACCTCTGTCATCAGAGCGCGTGGCGAATGCTGCGGTGGGGTCGGAGGCAGTCCAGCGCAAGCCCATGCCTCCTGCATCTTGCAATCGAAATCCCAGAAGCTGGTAGAAACTGCTAGGAAATGCTCTCTTAGATTCTGAGATGACGGCAACATGATTTGAGAAAGGTTGGCAAAGCCAACAGACCGGGCCAAAGATGTATCTTGGATGCCTGCTGATTAAATTTTCGCGGGACTTGGAACATTCGACAAAGCCCTGCTTGAAACTCTACTGAGTGGCTTCAAGGAGGTGTGAGCCCAAGGAAGCTCATCCCTGTTTCTGGCCATGCCATCTGCCGGATCGAATTCCTGGACCGCTTTGCGGTCATGTTCAACTGAAGTTCTTCTTCTGTCATGCCTCATGCGCCGGGCAGCTCCTACGTCACAGTGCGTCACCATACTACAAATTAGCAGTCGCTATTATGTGATCGTACATGTTGCGCAGGCGGCCGAATGTGAAACAACACCGCCGGGCCACTAGACGCCATTAACTCGTTCAGCCTCAGCTTCCATGCTGAGCAACATGCTCAGCCAGCTAGCGTGCAGAAACCAACGCCACTACACGCCGAGCCGCATCTGAAAACGTCAGGTCTTCAGGCTTGCGGTCCTTCGCTCCCTTGATACCTTTGATGCCTGGCAGCTTTGATTGCTGGTCATCCCCTGGGCTCGAATTTTAGCTTTTAGTCAATACAGCTAGTACCGTGAGTGAGCAGCTGGCCTGTGGCTTCGATTAGAAGGCCCAGCACGACCCATGTTTCAGGCTTCTCCTGGCCCTTGAACTTGATGCGGCCGAAGCAGAACCTGGGCAACTTCGTGCGCAAACATTGAATTACCAGTTGCTCTGCTGCCCAAGGCACCCATATTCTGCACCGCGCCTGACCTCATAAACTGTGAACATCTCCTTAGTCGGCTGACATGCCGGAATCTGTCGGACAAGCTTCTGGAAAACACCACATCTGTCTGGGCTGATGACTCCGTGGTGAATCAAGCCCATAGGTGCCAGCTTGCCTGGCGCGAGGTGTGCCACATGTGTACAGCCCAAAGCTAGTGATGCTGGTCGGTGTGCATAAACCGGGGCCGGAATGGCGATCGCGCATCCCTGCGAAGAGAGAGCCAAACTCGAGTTCGTCGGAAGCATAAACCATGAGGTCGCCCTGAGCAGAGAATTCCAAACCAATGCGCTAACCCTTGCACATTCGAGCAGTCGATGCCAAAGTCGATGCAGTCGCCACATGCAATCAAAACCACTGAAGCCGCAAAAACAGAAGGACGACAGCAGCTGGAACGTAGGAGGCACTTGCAAGAGAAAGGGAAGAGCATCCTATTCCTCACTCGGCATCGAAATCATGGAGCTCACGGCCGATCGTGCCGAACAACATAACACAACCCAGGAACGCCACGAAATGCCATGAAGGTACTGCCGTACACTACGAGGACTCCATATCAGCTCGAGGCACTCGTCTTGCTTTGGAAAGTGTCTGAATATCATGCTAGTTACTGCTAGTTCTAGTTTTCGTGAGCCTGTGCAATCGGAACAGGTTGCTTGTTGCTGCGACTTTGCTTGTGCTGCAGGCGGAACTTTGCAAGCTCCAGTGAGAACCCTTTCATATACCGTTTCCATCCCTGGGACCAACCACGACAGCACTCACAGCTCTGCGAGCAACACACGAAACTAACCGCAAATTCTACGCCAACTGCTAAGCACTCCCATATTGCACGTAGGCCTCGGGAGAAATGTTGCGGTAGATGGCTGGAAACGCCTCCTGTTGCATCTGCATTTCTCTGTCAGAGTTTCGTGTTGCTACGAAATCGTGAAGCATAATTAGCGAAGCCACATGCGCGTATCGTACATGCAAAGCTCTAAGGTCCACAGCTGGCTGCACTCAAGGGCTGGGTGTGCGCCTGTGTATTGGCGACAAGCGGTGACGTCCTGCAAACATGGACCTGCAAGGTGCACTTCTCGAAACCGTGCCTTGCCAGATGAGCCAACGTGAATCTTGTCTGATCTGGCCTCTTTGGCTCCGGTTGCCCGAATGTCTGCCTTGGGCTTCAAAAGTGCAGCTCTTTTTTAGCAATCTGGTGCTGCTAAACATCAAAGAGCGCGGCCAGAACCTTACCACCAATGTAATCGTTTCGCTTCATCGACCACACCTCCGCCGCATGTTTCGCAATGCAGACCGATCTCGAAATGCTATAGCAATTTCCCGGAACGCAGAACAACATGAAGGTGCGCGTCAGTGCGCATGGGGTCCGGAGTTCAGTTCAGGGCGGAGCCCATGTTAGAAGCATACGGACACTTCCAAACAAGGCCAGGGCACAATGCCTTCCTCGGAAGTCAGGCTGAACACAGTTCTGAATGTGTCAATGCAGGATCAAACACTTACTCGGACTTGCAGCAAAGCAGCAACAGGGTAGTTTGGAAACCGAGCACGTGCGTTGTTCACGATCTTTATCCTGGGAACGGCAAGTCACATACATCTTGAGCCTCTTGTTGCCAATGAATTGAGGCAACGGCCCATGTGCGGGCCACTCATCAGGCAACCTCACGGAAAGTTACGTGTTCCTGTTTGCGCGTGCGTGCGTGCGTGTCTGTGTGTTGGCGCACGCTCGCGTGTTTGTTTGTTCGCAGTGGTGACGTATGCTGCGATGAGACGTTTACTGTACATCTTCGGAATAAGCCAAGGCATGCATTGCGTGCTGCAGTGTGCTGCCTCTTTGAACCAGGACAGCGATGTCTGTCGTCCAATGCCACCCACATTTCTACGACTGAAAAGCCATAATGCAGGAACTGGCATTATCTTCCCAATATGCAGAAGAACGACTTGCTACCTCTCCGCCGTCCTGATTGCCCCATCGCGCGTTGAGTCGCATTGTGCAAAACGGCGGGCGGTGTCGGTAGTCAACTGCTGCA